ATTGAAGTATAAGGTATCAAGCCATGTGTGGATTAGCCTGTGGAATCAATTTCTCATGTGTGTGGGATTCAAACCGTTAAAACCCTCATCACTGAAACCATACCTTCCTACAGCTAATAGCAGTAAGGTGTCTGTGGAATATATTAACACAACAGTTCCTCTGATTTAAAATTATTGCTTGGTATTTGGTTGGAAAATTATTTGAATAGTATAAGTAACTGAATTGACATCATATATGAGGACTAATTATGGGTTTCTAATGGGACTTAGGTTTTGTTTTAAAAAATTCACATGATGTATTTATACTTAGCACATCTTTTTCAATAAATCATTGGCATATCGCATATTTCCTTTCTCTATAGTGTTAAAAAAATAACTACGACAGCACTTATAACTGCTAGAGGAGGTAGACTAAAATGTAGTTCACCTTGAAAATGGCTCAGGGAATAAAGAAATTGGGTCAAGCTTAAAATAAATGCAGGTACAGTGACAAAAAGTTTTAATAAAAATTTAAAAATATTCACAGTATTGGTTTCAGGCTACTTTTGTTCTTGGTGATCTTATCAATGCATTATTAGTTTTTAATGGAGATGACACTAATGGCACTTTTTCATTTTGGTCACAATGTTTATATGAAATATTTTTGTCATTTTTCACCACATATCCTCTTTTAATTGTAAATATAAAATTTTAGAAAGGCAGACAATTCTTAGATCATTTGACCTCTGGTGATCTTAAGTAGAATTTGAAGTGGCTTAAAATTCCTATGTCATAGCTATCACTTTGACTCATTTATATTGCCAATTTAATGTTTAGTGTTTAACCACGTATCATTAAATCATAGTATTGATAACAAATTAAACTTTCATAAAGCTTTAATAGTATAACAGATTCTCATTCATCTGGTGTCATTGGGGGATAAAATATGCTGAAGAAATGAGTTTTTGTCTTTTTTTTTTTAACTGACCCTCACTGGGTTAAGCAGAAACACTTAAAAGTTGATAAAAATTTATCTGACACACTTTGTATGTTCTTTTTGGGAGCAAGAATGGATTGGCCATTTACTTTTTTCTTTATGTCACAAAATAATATTATTCTAGTGTCATGCAGAAGGGACATGGGCTTTCTGATCCGTATTTGCTCCTCACATGAGAAGTTTTTTTTTTTTCCTTTGAAATAAATGCCACACCCCTAATTCTGAAACGCCGACTCCGTTTCTGCGGTGGTGCTTGCGATAATGCTGTAACAGATGGATGAACACCCAGGCTCCTGTGTAAGACCTTTGGCTGTGTGCTGGCTCGCCTACCATCTTTGGCAGACAGCTGGCCACTGCCTCGGGCTGTAAAGGAGACCCTCTCCTTGCTTTGGAGGAAGCATTTTCAGTGTTAAGATTCCTGCTCCCCAGCATTCGCTCCCTAGGAGCCATTGGTAGTGGTGCCTGGTGTCGTTATTCACCTGTTCACCTGTGCCTCTGAGCATCTGTGCTGTCTGGGTGACCCCCTGCAGTTTTTTGGAACTATTGCTAAAATGAGCAAATAGTGTATGTACTCCTTTTATCTTTTAGCAACTTCCAGAATAACAGCAAAAATTCTTTTTAACAAAGTGTTTTTTTTTTTAACCTCATACTCGTTTGTTTCAAGCAGTGCTTTCTAAAAACTCAAGCACAGCAAGAATATTTTCACTGTTCTTTAATGTGCTATAAATGACATTTGGTTTGAATCTTATATTTAAAAATTAGCTTCCTCTCTTTTGCTTGCACCTAATGGGAGTCATCTTTCTTCCAGGTTGTGCTTTACAAAGACTATAGGGAAGAACACATTTTTCTTCTCGCCACAAAAGTTGCAATAGAAGTAAGTAGGGGAACTGCCAGCATATGTCTGTCTCCACAAAACAAGCAGAACAAATTTCCATGAATCAAAGCCACTAAGTATAGTTTTCAGAAATGGTAGGACATAGTTACTCTCCCTAGAAAAATACCCGAAATGCAGGCACACCCATTGGCCACTAGAAAAATGCTCAAGTAAACGCTAGTTCAAACCTGTACATTTCACTCTTCTTACTGAGCTATTATAGGGGTGGAAATCTACTATAGCTATAATCTTTTTTTCCCCTTTTCTATTTTTCGACCTCCCACATGCTTGGTGTTCAGTTCTGCTTACTGAATGTCTTGAATCTCCAGCAGCACCTACACATACTGCCTCCACATTGGCTTATGGTTTGCAGATAACTCATGATTCAGACCCATAAAGAAACATTTGTAAATAGATGGCATGATATATGCTCTAGATTAATCATGAAAAGGAGCAAAGGAATGAAGAATACAGAAAGTTTTGTTTCCCTTCTAATATTAATGTTGCTTTCTTTGAGGTTATATGAGTGAAATATTCTTTGGAGTGGCTTAGATCACATTCTATCACTTGGGGAGATATCTCAGGTCATTTTTACAGCTACCTTTTAAGGATATATGGGGCATAGACACCTTAGTGTGATTAGGTCAGAGGAAATAAACCAAGATAGAGATATATGTGATATGATCTAGTAAGCAAATTGTTAACTGCTTTTAGTCTGCCTTAAAACCTTTGATACAATTTTCAAAATTGCCTTATATTGTTCTCTTGGTTAACTTCCTAGAAGTTTCCATTATTTGAAGGATGAATGGCTACCCTTTTGTTAAATTTATCTTATTGAACTTTGCCTTTATTAGAGGTGGTCTCCAACTGGCCTGAAAAAAAAAACCGGGCTTCTGCATAGATCAGCCCTTGAGCTAACTTCTTCCCATAATACCTTGGGGTTCTCAAATTCTTATTTGAATTTACAAGCCGCTGATGAAGAGTAAGTAACACCCACTGAACTTCAAATGCATGTGTGTATCCACCTTTCCCACCTGTCCTTTGTTGAGAGGTGACTGTCATTGAAAATTACTGATTTTAAAATGTAGGAGAATTCAAAGATATCCTTTCCCTTTAAGTAAGATGATTTATACTAATAATGGGGGGGGGGACAAAATATCTCATTACTGTCTATAAGTTATTATTCTTCAATTTTATCTTCACAACACACCTCTGAGGTTAGTATTGTTATCCCAATCTTAGAGAAGATGAGACTGAGTCCTACAGCATTAGGTAACCTGCCCAAGGTCACTCAGCTAGGAAGGGACATTGCTGAACTTCAGACTTGTATCTCCTTGGCCCCAGGGTTCATGTCTTTTCCATCTGAGGAACATCACTTCTTATTCTGCAGATAACTGAAATATGTACTTGTATATAAAATGCTAAGGGAAGATTCAGACTCAAGAACTATGCTTTTTCTCACCCTAGTTGTTTGTTTGGGGACCATCTGAGACTTTTTGCTTTGAAATGCAGTGTTAAGTAGGCATTGCTTTGACTGAGCAAGGTGAAGGACAGTTTTATTAATGAAAAGCATCATTGAGTTGTTGAGACTAATAATTTTGTGGAACAACATTATTAAGAAAAGCAATATGCTGTTTAATGAGTGGTGTTTACTTAAGTCATAAAGGAAAATACAACAATCTGGAATACTTTTTAAACAGTGTAGTATTTATGTACAGAGTGATGTTTTTTTCTTCTTACAGGAAATAGCATATAATTTGAAATGTATATGGACGACTTTTACATTCACATGTATATTTTTATTTCCCTGAGCACATTAACAAAAGTTGTGTTATTAAACCAAAAAATTGCTTTGATAGCTATCTCTCTGGGATGAAAATGTTGCCATGTCTTTTAATTAATTAATAATTAAATGTTTATTTATTTATTTATGAGAGAGAGAGATATCGTGAGCAGGGGAGGGACAGAGAGAGAGGGAGACCTAGAATCTGAAGCAGGCTCCAGGATGCTGTCAGCAGAGAGCCCAACTTGGGGCTCGAACTCATGAACATGACCTGAGCCGAAGTCGGAAGCTTAACTGACTGAGCCACCCAGGCAGTACAAATTTTACCATGTCTTTAATAATATTACTTTATCTCTCTTAATGGGACTGTTGTTTACAGGAAAGTTGGGGAAGCCTTGCTGGTTCATAGGCATATAGCTTTACCCCACTTCGTTGGTCGGCCTTTGCAGGTGGGATATTGGTGATAGTGGGGAGGTGGTCAAGATATGTGCAACGTCTCAAGAAATTATCCTAAGATTTTTAACACTAGAGAATTGAGATTTGAATATGAATATGCTTTTTTTTCTTTTTTCTTTATTTTTGAGAGAGAGAGGGAGAGTGCATGAGTGGGGGAAGGGCAGACAGAGAAGGAAACACAGAATCCGAAACAAGCTTCAGGCTCTGAGCTGTCAGCACAGAGCTCGACACGGGGCTTGAACTCATGAACTGCGAGATCATGACCTGAGTCCAAGTTGTATGCTTAACCCACTGAGCCACTCAGGTGCCCCATGTGCTTTTGTTGTTATTGCTGTTGTTAAATGTGGATTCACTGGGGACAGTGATAGCTGCTGAATTTAAATATGAATTTAATATGTGAGTGACAGAGTCCGAGAATTTCTGAGCTGGAAAGGGCCTTACAAATGAAGAGCTCTTGGAGTAAAGGTCATAGGAGATGAGTTCAGTGACTGTCTGAGAGTAGTAGAGCTCGAGGCCAAGCCACTTCTGTGGTTACTGAGTCAGGGTTGAAGCCATTCCAACCAGGAAGTGAGTGATCATAGAAGGAGAGGGCTTTAAACTTCCTTGGGTTGGAGAAAAAACTGAGTCATTGTGGAAGTAATCTCATGGCCTGGAGAAAACAGAAAAATAAGCTTCTGTTATTTCCTCTTATTAACACAAATGATGTAAAAATATTGATTACAAAAATATAAACCTTATATGTTAACACACTTTTTAAAGAAGTGGGACAAGCATATTTAAAAAAAATTAATCTGTAAATTACTTGTATTTGCTTTCTGGGTGCACTGTTTTAACTTCTTTTTATTTAAAAATATCTTTATACTCAGACACATATATATGTTGGAACAAATAGTCTTTTGCTTATTATTTAGAATCTGTGAAGTCTTGAAAGGGCCAATGAGTATTCTCATCATTGAGGCATTCTACGGAGGGTCCCATAAACAGCTGGTGGATCTGCTCCAAGAAGAGTTAGAAGACTGTGTCCTTTATACCCTTCCTGCAAAGAAATGGCATTGGAGAGCACGGACATCGGCTTTATACTTCTCGCAGAATATTCCCGCCAGTGAACATTACAGGTATTTAGAGCTCAGACTGTATTGTCAGCCTGTTTTTAATGTACCTGTTGTATGGACTTTGCTTCTCTGTCAGCCTCTGTGAGATTTTCTCCGGCTATGGAGTTGGTCAGTCTGACTAAGGAAATGTTCCTTTAGGCACAGTAGGGCAGCAGGATACATGTACACTCTGAGGACATCTGGCTGGTAGGAAAGTGGCCTCATTTAGAGCCTACAAACCTTTTCTCATTTGTCTTGTGATTGTATCACATGCATGTGTGTGGATGTGAATGACATTTTTGGCCTGAGAGAAGAGTTGGCCTTGGGCATATTTGTTGTTGTTGTTGTTGTATAAGCTCCAAGTTGTCTCTTTTAGTGAGTGTGCGTTTTAGTTTAGTTTATTTACCTTTAGCTGCTCTGTGCTAGCAGCTAAGGTTGGAAAGACTGCTGTGACCAAGGCCTGTGCACTTAAAGCTTTAAAGACTATTGAGGTAGAGATAGATGTGCAAGTGCAGTGTGAGCACGAAAAAAATGGAGGCATTGCCTTTGACATTACGAAGTAAGAATGGCTTTGTAGAGTTGGTAACCTTTGCTTAGTCTTAAAGGATGAATAGATTATGGGGACACAGGACTCAGTTCTGAATTCTGATTTGCTAGGACATGAGAACTAGGAGCACCTATCAGAGATTCTTATAGGACATACTGGAAAGATGGATGAGAAATACTGATTGCATCTGCTGAGGACCAAGCAGAGTACTGAGCATCTCTACCTCCTTATTCTATTCATATATAGTGCCAGGTATCTCCTGCTTGTTAAATAGTGGGAGATGATCCTACTGTGGTTTATATATCCTTACTCCTACCATTCTGGGCCCTGCTGTGGAGGGCTGCATTGGTTTAAGCTGGAATGGGATGTGCCAGGCCGATAGTGTGGTTAGGGCACACAGGTTGTTTGAGAAAGCACACGCCACAGGCTATAGCGCTCACCTTGGCTTCAGCAGTCACGTCTGTCTGTTGCTGCTTGTCAGGTGGAGCGATCACTGGGGAGATGAGAGCTTGGGATTGGAATGTAGGTTTCTGTTCTGAGTAGTAATCTGGGGGATTCAGAGACTACCCCATTTGGCGTAGGAAAACCATGCCTCATGTCAGAAAATTCACGTTATCAGGTGGAGTAGCAGTGAGCGCTCAAGTCCCTCTGCTTGGGATTATAAAGGTAAAATGCTGTTTGGGGGACATATTAAGAATGCTGTATTTTTCTAATCTGAAGTTTGTTTTTCTTCACATAATTTAATGTCCTGTATTCTGATATCAATCATTCACTAACAGTATGAGAAATTTCAATGAGTGTATCAGGATAAGAGTTTTAAAGGCAATGGTAAGACGGTTGCTGTGGTAAAACCTGACTGTTTATAGCTGCTTTCACATCTCATTTAATTGTGTTTTCACAGCACCAATTGTATTATATTACTTAAGGTCACGTAATTCGGTTAGCTTTATGGCACATTTTCATTTAACGCTGCCGTTCGATATAATACGTTTCTACAATGATTTCAACATTGAAATGAACCATTTCTCTATCTGCTGTTAGATTTCATTTTGATTATGCAGGTTTTCAGAATGAAATGATCGTATCACAAATATATGTGTACGGATAGCATGCGCATGCATACTCCTGTGCCCGTGGCTTCTCCGGTCCTTTGAGGCCTGAGGTATCTGAGGTTAAGCATCATACTGCTCTTTGAAGCAGTCTTGTTTGGAAGGTCGATTTCTGGAAGATTGTGATGTAAAGTTTTACTCTCTGATGGCCATGACCTACAGGTCCTCACGGTGCTATCTAAGATCTTTCAAGGTCAGTCACCAAGGCTGTGTAGTTAGTTGCAGTAATCTAATCAGACTTCACTAAAAGATACCTCACCAGTTGAACTTATATTTGACCAATGATAACTTATCTACTCTTTTTGAATTCTTTTGGAAAATAGCAACAGTATGAAAACTTATACTAAGTTAAAAAATATGCTTACTCAATCCTACACTGAAGTGCAAGAACAGTCATTTTTTACACCAGATGAATCTGATCTCTGTGGAGATTTTTAAAGATATGAAGGGCGCCTGGGTGGCTCAGTCCGTTGAGTGTCCAACTCTTCATTTCCACTCAGGTCATGATCTCAGGGTTGTGGGATTGGCCCCTGAGTTGGGCTCTGTGCTGAGCATTGGAGCTTGCTTAGGATTCTCTCTCTCTCTCTCTCTCTCAAGAAACCAAAAAACAAAGTAACTTTTGGGGAGCTGGGTGAATCAGTCAGGTAGGTGTTGGACTCTTGATTTTGGCTCAGGTTTTTTGATGTCAAGATCATAATATCGAGCTCATGTCCAGCTCTGCACTGGGCATGGAGCCTGCTTGGGATTTTCTCCCTCCGTCTCTCTCTCTCCCTCCCTCCCTCTCTCTCTCTCCCTCCCTCTCTCTCTCTCTCCCTCCCTCTCTCTCTCTCTTCCCCCTCTCTCTCCCTTTTTCTCCCTCTCTACTCCTCTGCTTGAACACATGCCCTCTCTCTCTCACTCTCTCTCTCAAATAAAATAAAATAAAGATATGAGAAGTTTTTGTTTTTCAGTTACTCTATTTGTTCATTTGGCAAATGAAATCCTCAAAATTCATAAAGCACTATTATTGTGTACTATGCAAAATCACTCTAAATAGGTAGGGACTGTGTCTAATGAGAAAGACCCTGAATATAGGTACATGTGTTATTTTTCTCAGCTTCTGTACATGTAGTCATTAATGTTATGAGCTTATTATCCAGAAATTATTTTATTACTAAAGGAATAAATGCTTCATCTCAATTACTCAGTTTGATTCTGCTTTACCTTGACAGCTGAAAGAATACATCATGATTCACATTTGGAGCTGTTTAACTTTATCGTAGATTACAAAAGCCCCAAAAGTTATTTTTCTCAAAAGTGGTTGGTAATTATTATTTCATGGGTTATATTAGAGTTTTGCCTTTTGGAAACTACTAAATGAAGAAAAGTGTTTTTCAGGATGGGCCTTAAATTTTGTGTTCTGAAATTTCTGAGTCATTTGTCCCAAGAGTGGCATTTCAAGTTTCTTAGATATACCTAGACAAGGCATCGAAGATACTCTATTCACTTTTTCCTTTCTGCAGTATCTTTACTGAAGTGAAACAATCACTGTCACTGAAAATCATTTTTTCACTTTCAGCTGCTTACAATTATAGTTTTCATTCCATCTGAGGTAATGTGGCAGGTTCTGATCACTGGCCACTTAACAGCCCTTCTTCCTTGTTAATCACACTTTTCTTCGGAATGGCGAAGTCCCCCCGGGAGTGAAACATGATTGATCTGAGTTCGTCATTATGATCCCATTCTCTGCCCGGTGTTCCCAGCTTTCCTTGTGGTTAGTGCTGGGCAGTTACTAGGTTTTGGCAAATTAGATTTAAGTGGATGACTTCTGGGGGTTCTTCCAAAAAAGTGTGTTTTGTTTGCTTTTAGTTATGAAAGGAGAAACCCATTTTCCTTTCCTGCATTTGACAGTGGTTGTGATATCTACACCCAGGAGGTGACCGGATGAGGACAAAGTGCCCGAGTCCCAAAAATGGATGATGGAAGCTGGAAAGACTTTGATCAGACTTCCATTTTGGGCAATAGAGCTCCCTAGGCCCCTGAAATCCCACCATCTCTAAAACATCCAGAAATGATTCATAAAGTGTAACAAATTTCCTTTTAAGTCCATAGCTGAGCAAAGTAAGAGAGGATTTGAAGAAGGATCTGGAAATTAGGCTGGTAGCTGGCCTCGAAGCTGTAGTTGCCTCATGTTCATAGAGGAGACTGGTTAACTTACATTCTGAAATGTAAGTTATGTGCAATATCATGCAGTTCTGACCTGAATTAGGAGGCATTCTGTGTCCCTTATGGGAACTTCTCCAAGACCTTTTCAGTGATGAAAAGTAGGGTCCCAAACAATGTTGTTAGGTGTTGTCTTTGGTACAGAGAAAGGAGGTTATCAGAACAATACAGTGGAAGAGTATAGTGGCAATGAGTAATAGCAGTAGTGTGAAGATCACGGTGGCAGAGGACGTCATTGCCCACCCGCACCCCTCCACCTTTCCCTTTCGCTGCACCCGGCCAGTTTCCCCGCCGTAGGCATCTCTTTGCCGAAGGGAGAAGTGCTGCCAGCGCACGCAGCAGGCCGGGAGCAGCGCTCCACAAATGGTCTGCACCCTTCAGATGAAATCATTCTGAAGTGGGTGCAGGAGAGAAAGCATTAACAAAGATTCCTTAAAAACCCTGCAAGTCAGAAAGTGTACAAGTGTACAAGTGTTAACTCCAAATAACTCCAGGAAACCGTAATGGATAATACAAAATAGGACTGAATCATAACGAACATACTGTATATCACAGTGCAGATTGTACCTAAATTGACAGTCACAGCCACATCATCTTTAATACATTTATTTTTGTTAATTTTTAATTGTGCTCTTTAGGCCCTCTACAGCTTGTGGTGCAGAGCAGGGACCCTCTTACTTGAATCTAGGAGTAGTATTGGGAAGAAAAGAATAAGAACATTATTTATTATTGAGAGACAGAGAGAGACAGAGCATGGGCATGGGAGTGATAGAGAGAGAGGGGGAGATACAGAATCTGAAGCAGGCTTCATGCTTTGAGCTGTCAGCACAGAGCCCAGCGCAGGCTTCAAACTCACAAACGCGAGATCATGACCTGAGCTGAAGTCGGACGCTTAACCGACTGAGTCACCCAGGTGCCCCAAATTTAAATTATTTTTTTAATGTTTATTTGTTTTTGAGAGAAAGAGACAGAGTGTGAGTGGGAGAGGGGCAGAGACAGAAGATACAGAATCCGAAGCAGGCTCCAGGCTTTGAGCTGTCAGCACAGAGCCTGATGTGGGGCTTGAACTCAAAATTGGTGAGATCATGACCTGAGCTGAAGTCAGATGCCCATCCAACTGAGCCACCCAGGCACCCCAAGAGTTTTTTTTGAGATAATAAAATAGA